CACTGCCAGGGATCCAGGGGCAGCCACAGCTGCTCTGGGCACCCTGTGCCAGCCCTGCCCACCCTGCCAGGGAACAATTCCTGATTCCCAAAATCCCATCAAATCCTGCTTTGAAGCCATTCCCTGTGTGCTGTCCCTCCATCCTTGTCCCCAGTCTCTCTCCAGCTCTGTTGTCTCTCCTACCCCCAGACACTTCCTTATCCAAACAGTTCTCTCATTTCTGCCTGAAGTCCATGAACAATCATGTCCATAGGAAACTGTTCTTATCTGTCATGAAGCCTATAAAAAGTTATGAAATATTTGGGGTTTTGGTGACTCCGTGCCCAGTCTCCCTGCAGGGACAAAAACCCTTTGGGAGTTGCTGTGAATCATCTTCTGTCCTTCTCAGTGTGCACCTTGACAGCAGGAACAAAATGCCTCTTTCTTTTGTCTGTCGTGACTGAGAAAAGGCATTTCTGGGTCACAGGGGCTTCCTACACCTTGCTGTGGGTGAGGGCGGAGAGTGGAGTGCCCAGAGACGTGGGTGAGGCAGAGCACAGTGTGAGCTGGGTGCCAGGAATCCCGGGACGAGAGCTGTGCCCAGTGCTGTCCCTGAGAAGCGAGCTCATCCTTCCAGCCAAGCATCACTTTTGCCACATCACGCTCTGCTGCCATGCCAAGAACAAGCCCTGCCCAAGAGTCCTGCTCTGCAGACACCTGAACCCACCCAAAACTCGCATCCAGGAAATTGAGTCGCTGCTCTTGGTAGAATCAGGCCCCCCCAAATTGCAGAGTGGGCGGCGCAGGGTGGGAGGGATGTGAATAAACAAAGTCTGGACAGGTCTTGATAGCAAATGTTTATCTAAAAGCTGCCCCCACCCAGCTGTGTGACTCAGCTGATTTTGGGGAGGTTTTTATGCCAGGGATGAGCCAGGGTAGATTAAAGTCTTCAATTTGTTTATCCTCCCCCCAGGAAAATATGAATGCTCTCAATTTCCCTTGTCTAGGAGAGACATGCAGGTTTTACAGTGGAACTCTGAGTGGTTCCTCCGAGCAAAGTCCCGGGTGTGTGACCCCGGGGGTGGCAGGACTTTATCAACCCAATACCCTTTTAGCACAATTTCCAGCGGCCAATCCCACCCGAAGCTCCCAAAGCAGCCAGAGCAAAGGCAGGGTGATTTCTGTGACCCTGCTGGAGCTGACAGCCCAGCCATCCCCCCCAGGCCCCCACGCCCCGAGGGACACACAGAGGCACGGACACTTCACAGGACGAGCTTTATTTGCCTGTTAGAAGCTGTTGGCTCCAGCGTGGCAGGACCTTGCAGCGCTGCCAGGGCGTTCCTGCGGCTCCTTAGTGGTACTTGCGGGCCAGGGCGTGGGCGACCACACGCACCAGCTTCTGCCAGGCAGCCTGGCAGTCGGGAGTGAAGTCCTTGCCGAAGTGGGCGGCCAGGACAACGACCAGGATGTCACCCAGGAGCTGTGGGGACAGGAGCAGCCTCAGGTTAGCAACGCCTGCACATCCCCACTCCAGCAGCCACATCTCCCCAGGAAGCCTGAGCTCTTAAAATCCTCCCCCAGGCCCTTTCTAAGATGCGCCTTAAACTCGGTCTCTGCTCTTACTCTGAAGGTTCAGGTTCTGCTACCATAAGGAAAGGGTAACCAAAAATTCTCCAGCGTTTTTTGGGCTAAATTTTTCTTTGTCCCTTCTGGCTTTGTTTTGGAGTTTCTCTCAAGCACGAACAACGAGCTCATGCTGACACAGGGGGATTTCTGCCAGCCCCAGCCCAGGGACAAATGCTGGGGTTAATTCTCTACTGAGATACTCTCGGATCCTCTTTCGGCATCCAGCTTCCATGTCCCGCTCCTCACTCATCTCTCTGCTCCCCTCTGTGCCAAACTTTGCTCTTGCTCCTTCTCTTCCCCCTCAGCTCAACCTTCCTCCTGCTCAGCCACTGCTGTCACTTTGTTCTCCCCTCCATTCCCTCTCTGACACCACGTCCACGTCCTCCCCATCCCCTACCCTCAGCTGGCCCCTGCACGCAGCCCTGGCACCTCTCACCTGCACTGGGTCCCTCCCCGCCCTGCCCCTCTGCCCCCAGCACCAACCCCCAGCCCCTCTTCGTGCCCCGGGTAAATCCCTCTCCTTCTGGGGACCAGGGTCAGGGGACTCAGGGGCACGGCTCACCCTGAAGTTCTCGGGGTCCACGTGCAGCTTGTCGCAGTGCAGCTCGGACAGCTGGGAGAAGGTGTTCTTGATGCTGTCCAGGTTCTTGACAGCGTCCCCGAAGGAGGTGAGCACCTTCTTGCCATGGGCTTGCACCTTGGGGTTGCCAAGGACGGCGGTGGGGCTGGACAGGTTCCCAAAGGAGGCAAAGAACCTCTGGGTCCAGGGGTAGACGATCAGCAGCCTGGGCAGAGACACGAGCACACACAGTCACATCAGCGCTGCCGTGCCCACGGTGGTTCCCTGTACCTGCAGTGCAGCCCAGCAGGTCCCCACAGCTCACCCACCTGACGAGAGCTCACCCACCTGGCCACAGCTCACCCACCTGGCCACAGCTCGCCCACCTGGCCACAGCTCGCCCACCTGGCCACAGCTCGCCCACCTCACCAGAGCTGTACTCACCTGGCCAGGGCCTCGGCGCCGCACTCGGCCACGTTGACCTTGCCCCAGAGGCCGGTGATGAGCTGCTTCTCCTCGGCTGTCCACTGCACCATGGTGTTGGCTGGAGGTTTGCGTTGGCTCCGGAGGAACTCGGCTCTTGCTCCCGAAGGATCGCACGCTGGGGAGCCGCTGTCCAGCCCCGCTTTTATCCCCTGTGCCCGGCCCCTCCTCTGCCCTGTGCACCCCTCATTGGCTGCGCCCCCGCGGGGGCCCCAGCGCTGGCACCCGGCGAGGGGACACAGCCCCGGGGAGGGGACACAGCCCCAGGGTGTGGCCCCAGGGCAAGGTGCCCAGATGGCCTTGGCTGGCCCCCCGCGCTCCCCGTCCCTGATTTCCAGCCCCGTGCAGGGTGACATTATCTCCAATATCGCCACACAGAGTCCCAGCACGGCCCCGTGCGAGTCCCGCAGCAGCTCCCAGGGACGGTGCCAACCCCCGAGGCTGGAGATGAGGGCTTGGGGCTCTTGGGTCCTCCTTCTGCGTGCACCACAATCTCCTTCTCTCCTTGCAGGACCCGCCAGGCTTTGGGTTCTCCCCTTGCTTTCCCATCAGCTCTGCAGAGTTTCACTGACCTCAGGATGACACTGCTGAAACCACAGCAAAGCCTCGCAGCCAAGAGGGAGCTCCTGTCTCGAAGAACCCCTTGGCAAAGGTCAGGCAAGGCTGGGAAGATGTTACAGCCCAGGGCAAACCGCCTGCCTGCGGGGTGTTGGCTCACAGGGCGTGAGGAGAGCTGGGATTACTGGGATCCCACAGATCCCCAAATCCCCGAGGCTGGCAAAGCCCTCCCAGCCCAGGGAGTCCCAGCTGTGCCCCATGGCCACCTTGGCACCCTGAGTGCCACCTCCAGGTGCCACCTGCAGGGATGGGCACTCCAAAGCTCCCTGGGCAGCCCCTGCCAAGTCCTGGCTACTCTTTCCAGGAAGAAAGAACATCTGCACAGATGTGCAGCCTGAGGCAGTGCCTGACCCAGGGATTCAGCAGCTGGATGAGAACTGGGAGAGGCAGCCAGGGCTCCTGGGGCTGCTCTGCTGCTCCTGTGCCAGCTGAAGGGGGTGCAGGGGATAGGGATGGAGCTGGTGGGGCACAGGAATGCCCTGGTGGGCTCTGGATGACCTTGGAGTGAAGTGTTTGTGTTTGCTGCTGCTCCCTGCAGGAAGGGGCTCAGCCTGGTCAGGCTGGGGGTGACTCTGTGCCCCAGCAATCAGCACTTGGTGTTCCATGGAATCACAGAGTCCCACACTGCTCTGGGCTGGAAGGGACCTTAAATCTGATTCAGTCCCATCCCCTGCCACGGGCAGGGACACCTCCCACTAGCCCAGGTTTGTTCCAGGTCCCATCCAACCGAGCCTTGATGGTTGTGTCTGTTCCAATCTGCCTTTGCTAATCTAAGAATGACAGCGACTTTAAAAAAAACCCCAAGCCAGCAACACCCCACATGCAGGAAGTTCCAAGCCATGGCCCCAGTCTCCTTCACTTCTCCCTCTGCACATGGAGCTCTACTCCACTCACTCCGTGAAAGTCTTAAAACATTAAACCAAGCATTGTTACCCAGTGTCTCCAAAAAGTGCCAGCGTGTTTCTGTTCGTATTTTGTGCTCTTTATTTGGGTTTTGTCCTGAACATTCCCCTGGGATCCCCTCTTAGACAAGTTTCACTTGCATGAGGGAGATCGTGGCTCATTTTATCCCATGTATGTTCTCCCATGCATGTTTTCCTGTGTTATCCCGTGTTATCCCATGTTTGTGAGCATTTGCTCCCCCCGCCGCCCTGTCCCTCCCTCCTCATTCCCACAAAGAGCCAGACATGTCCTGGTGCTGGAGCAGCTGGTGTTTATTGGGTGTTTATTGGGCGCTAATTGAGTGTTAATTGGGTGATTATTGGGTGCTAATTGGGTGTTTATTGGGTGTTAATTGGATGTTTATTGTGTGTTTATTGGGTGATCAGAGCCCAGCAGAGCCCGAGGAGGGGTCCCCGGGGGTGTCTCCAGGTGCCAGGGGCTCAGTGGTACTCGTGGGCCAGCGCGTGGGCCACCACTCGCACCATCTTCTGCCAGGCAGCCTGGCACGCAGGGGAGAAGTCCTTGCCGTAGTTGGCAGCCAGGACGACGATGAGGATGTCACCCAGGAGCTGGCATGGAGGGAAGAAGCCGTGAGCTGGTGCTGCCCTGCATCCCTCCCCAAGCCTCTCTGGGGAGCAGAGCAGATCGATCCCGGCCCCGAGCAGGGCACCGGGCTCCTGGCACAGCCTGTGCCAGCTCTGGCATGCCCCGGGGTCCCTGCGTGTGCAGGATCCTGCCCCCAGCACCTTCCTGTGCCTGCTGTGCTTGTCCTCCCTCAGCTCCCACTGGGTTTAGCCCTTCCCTCCCCAGCCTGGCTGTCCCTGGGCTCAGAACCCTCCTGCCAAAGTGCCTGCGCTTTTTTTCCCTTCTGGTGGAACCACTCCCTCCCAGCCAAGCTCAGCTCTTCCCTCCAAACCCAGTCTCAGTTCCTTCCCTTCTGGCAGCTCCAGGATGTTTCTTCTGGCCAGCACACATTTGTCTCTGCATTTCTGCCCATTCCCCTGGCCTGCCTCCATCTCACAGATCCCAGCCCCAGAACTGCTCTCTGTTCCCCCCAGATGTGACTTTGCTTTCCCCTCAGTGTCCCTGCCCTCCACAGGCTCTCCACAGCCCCAGGGTTTCTCTCCAGGTCTCTCTGACTGTCAGACCCCTCTGGGACCCCTGGAGCACCTCCCGAGCCCAGACCCTCTGCCCAGCCCAGGCTGGGGCTCAGCATGGCTCACCCTGAAGTTCTCGGGGTCCACGTGCAGCTTGTCACAGTGCAGCTTGCTCAGCTGGGCAAAACATTTCTTAATGCTGTCCAGGTTCTTGATGGCCTCCCCGAAGGAGGTGAGCACCTTCTTGCCATGGGCACGGACCATGGGGTTGCCAAGGATGGCTGTGGGGCTGGACATGTTCCCAAAGGAGGCAAAGAACCTCTGGGTCCAGGGGTAGACGATCAGCAGCCTGGGCAGAGAGGCAGGGACACAAACAGACACTGAGACATTGATGCTGCAGCAGCTGCAGTGTTTCCCTCTGCAGGGGCAGCCCAGCAGGTTCCCAGGGCTGTGTCCACCTGGGCAGAGCTCACTCACCTGGCCAGAGCTCACTCACCTGGCCAGGGCTGCACCCACCTGGCCAGAGCTCACTCACCTGGCCAGGGCCTCGGCGCCGCACTCGGCCACGTTGACCTTGGCCCAGAGGCCGGTGATGAGCTGCTTCTCCTCGGCTGTCCAGTTCACCATGGTGCTGGCTGAGGGCTTGTCTGGGCTCCCTGAGCAGTGTGAGGACGTGGCTGCCCAGGATTTTTATACGGGCTTGGCCTAATCTCAGTCGCAGAGGCAGTGCTTGGGGCTGGGGAGGGAGCGGGGCTGCACGGGGGCAGATAGTGCCTTTGGACTCGGGCCAAGGGGGACAGAGGCCCTTTCCCCTCCGTGTGTGACAGGACAAGCATCCCCTCGGCCCCGAGCACAGCTGGGACCCCAGGGTGGCACAGGCAGGGTCCCTGCTGGGGACACCAGCCCCTCCTGCCCAGTGAGTCCTTGCACAAGGAATTGTGGAATCCCAGACTGGTCTGGGTTGGGAGGGACCTCAGAGCCCACCCAGAGCCACCCCTGCCATGGCAGGGACACCCCCACTGTCCCAGGCTGCTCCAGCCTGGCCTGGGACACTTCTGGATGCTTCCCTGTGTACCCAGAGAGCCTCTCCAGCAGCTGCACTGGTGCCCCAGGGCACTCATCATAAGCTAAAACGTGGGTTTAAACTCCCTGAGGAAGAATTCCAAGGGCTTTTACATTTGAAGATTATTGAGCCGTGGAGCCATTTGAAGGAAGTCTGCAGTGCTGGGCTGGCCCAGAGGCTGTTTGCAGCAGTGGCCACTGGCCCAGTGACAGTCAGTGGCACAAGCTGGCAGGGAGGCACAGACAGCCCCAAGTGCCTGGAGGATGGCAGGGTGAGCTGGGCAGGACTGCACCAGCCCCGAGCCAGCCTGCAGCCTGTGAGAGCTGGAAAAAACAAAGGCAAGCACAGCCCAGACAGTCCCAGCCTTGGGCTCGCCCTGGTGCTTCATCCATTTCTACAGGAAGAGTTAATTTAATTATGGTTTAAACCCCTGCTTTCTGCCGAGGAGGCAGCAGCCTGGCTGGGAGGTTTTGGGAGCTCGAGCTGGGAGTGCCTGCTCAGGGAGGGGACACAGCCTGGCAGGGAAATGCTCCTCTCTGTGCTGAGCAGGGCAACTCCTGCAGCTCTTTTGGAGCCTGCAGAGTCCAAGGGAGATCTCATTTTCCCACTGCAAGCCCAGCGACCCCCGACAGCTCCTTGCCAGACAGAAGCCAGGCCCTGCTCTCAGCCTGGTGTGGATTTCTGCTCAGGGCCCATCCTTCCAGCTGGCTGCTCCCTTTGGTGTGGGTGGAAGATCTCTGAACTCCTGGAATCACAGGATCATGGCATGGCTTGGGTTGGAAGGGATCTTCGAGATCATCTCATTCCAGCCCCCTGCCACAGGCAGGGAACCTTGTGCTAGCCAAGTCTTGGCCACACACTTTCCCCTTCCATGGACAAGAGCCTTCCCTTTCAGAGACAAACCAGCCCAAGGAGGGCCAGAGGCAGCCCCAGGAAGGCCTTGGTGACCCAAGCAGAGTTTATTGGTCCCTGATTGCAGCAGTGTCCCCGCCAAGCTTTACAGAGCCCTTATCAGCAGCCAGGGCATCCGTGCCCAGGCTCTGCCCTGGAGCCAGGCCAGCCTCCATCTCCTCCAGAACACCCACAGCCTTGTGTCTCAGCAGGTCCTGAGGGTGGCTGTGTTCTTATTTTTAAATCCCAGAAGATTTGTGTTGGAAGGGACCCCACAGCCCATCCGGGTAGGGTCAGAGCAGGGAACCATGGAACTCCTTGGGCTGGGAGGGACATTAAAACTTGTCCTGTCCCAACCCCTGCCATGGCAGGGACACCTCCCACTGTCCCAGGCTGCTCCAATCCCAATGTCCAACCTGGCCTTTTGATCAACTTAGCACATTAAGGAGGGGTAAATTTCTGCCTAAGCAATGAACTTGTACAAATTTATATCCTTGCCAATGCCCCAGGAGGAGAGGCCCACGAGCAGCCACAGAGACACAGAACACAAAGAATTGCAGGAAATGCGGTTTTTATTGTCTGTCACACACACAGGTGCCTGCCGAGGCTTTAGTGGTACCTGTGGGCCAGGGCATGGGCCACCACCCCCACCAGCTTCTGCCATGTGGCCTGGCAGGCAGGGCTGAAGTCCTTGCCGAAGTGGGCGGCCAGGACGATGACCAGGATGTCACCCAGGAGCTGTAGAGGGGAAGGCAAGAGGGAAATGAGGTCAGCAGGGTGCTGGGCACCCCTTGGCCCTGCACAGCCCCCCAGGACCAGGGTAGCCCAGTGGGACCTGGGGCTGTGGCCAGGGAAGGGCAGGAGCCCTGTGCTGGCCATGGGCACGAGTGTCCACCTGCTCCATCTCTGCTTCCTCGCACATTTTCCAGCCCCCAGGCTTTTGTCTGCCTTTGCTTTTTCTGCTGTGAGACCCCAGAGCCACTTCAGCCGAGGGTCAGGGCAAGGTTCACCCTCTCCATCCCCAAAGCCAGGCTCAAACAGAGGCTGAAGCAGAGGCAAACATCCTGCCCCTTTTCTCCAGCCGTGCCTGCACAAGCCCCCAGACCTTTAGAGAATCTCCCTGTGGCTGTCACCAAATCTGCCCTTGCAGCCCAGAGCCCAGTATCGCCCTGCATTACTGAATTCCCAACCTTCCCCTGCCCCCAGCTCCCACTGCAGCCAGCCGTGTCCTGCTGGGAAACTGAAACACAAGGCACTGATGCCTGTTTGAAATCCCCCGGCACTGAGGTGCTCTGAGGAAGGAGGGGCAGAGGGTGAAGCTGCAAACACAACTCACCCTGAAGTTCTCGGGGTCCACGTGCAGTTTCTCACAGTGCAGCTCGGACAGTTTGGAGTAGGTGCCCTTGAGGTTGTCCAGGTTCTTGATGGCCTCCCCGAAGGAGGTGAGCACCTTCTTGCCATGGGCACGCACCTTGGGGTTGCCAATGATGGCTGTGGGGCTGGACAGGTTCCCAAAGTTGTCAAAGAACCTCTGGGTCCAGGGGTAGACGATCAGCAGCCTGGGCAGAGACACGAGCACAGACACGGTAAAGCTGCATGGCTGCAGTGTTTCCCTCTGCAGTGCAGTGGGGCAGGTCCCAGAACTGCACCCACCTGGCCAGAGCTCACCCACCTGGGCACATCCCAACTCCCCGGGCACATCCCACCCCTCTGGGCACATCCCAGCCCCCTGGCACATCCCACCCCCCTGGCACATCCCTCGTACCTGGCCAGGGCCTCAGCTCCACACTCCTCCACGCTGACCTTGCCCCAGATGCTGGCAATGAGCTGCTTCTCCTCGGCTGTCCAGTGCACCATGGTGGCTCTGCTGGGCTGCAGGGGGGCACAGAGAGGACACAGAGAGGACACAGAGAGGACACAGAGCCTGGAGCTGAGCCCAGACCCTGCCTGGTTTTATCCCCTGGGCCAGCCCCAGGCCAGCCCCCCCAGCGGGGCCATTGGCTGGGACCATTGGGGGTCCCAGGGGGCTGGGCTGGTCACACAGTGGTCACTCTGCAGTGAGGTGTGGTCTTCCAGGAAAGCCCTGAGAGTCCTTAACAGGCCAGCTCGGGACACAGGATCCTCTTATCTCCCTCTCCTTCGGGCCTGGCTGCCTGCTCAGCACAGGCATGGCCATCCCAGCCATCCCTGCACCAGGCACAGACCCCTCAGAGAGCTGCTTCAGAACCACGGGATTGTCTGCTTGGAAAAATCTTATCTTGGTCCACCCCTGCCATGGACAGGGCACCTTCCAGTGTCCCAGGATGCTCCAAGCCCTGTCCAGCCCGGCCCTGGGCACTGCCAGGGATGGTGTTGGTGAAGCAGAGGTCTCCTCCTCAGCTCCAGGTTGGCAGAACACCTGTATGGGGTGCCAGGTGTGAGCCCGCAGTGCTCCCTCCCTGCTGGGAGTTAAAGCCTTGCCCAAGGACAGCAGGAGCTGCCATGCCCCAGCCCCACAGCAGTGCCCATCTCCACCAGGTCGAGGTCTGGCTCCAGGCTTTTGTTTGGCTCTGGCTGTCACCTGCACAGGTGATTTCCTGGCTTCCAGGCCTGCGGTGGAGCTGTGCTCAGGAAGACAAAGCCTTTCAGGGTGCTTGAGGTGTCAGGAGTCCAGACAAAACCACAGACACTGGAATTGTTCCAGGCCAGGCTGGATGGGGCTTGGAGCATCCTGGGACAGTAGAATGTGTCCCTGCCCATAGCAGGGAGCTGGAACTGGGGGATTATCCAGCCCAAACCATGCCATGCTTTGAATCTGTGGCTTTGGGTGTGTGGGAGGTTTAAGGAGTCTCATCCAGACCTCTGGAATTTCCAATTACAGACTGATATCCATTGATCTGAGAAAGCTGGAGAGGGACTTTTTACATGGGGAGGCAGAAATAGCACCAGGGGGAATGGCTTGGGCTAGGTGGGATCTTGGGCAGGAATTGTTCCCTGGCAGGGTGGGCAGGGCTGGCACAGGGTGCCCAGAGCAGCTGTGGCTGCCCCTGGATCCCTGGCAGTGCCCAAGGCCAGGTTGGACATTGGGACAGTGGGAGGTGTCCCTGCCATGGCAGGGGTGGCTCGGGATGAGGTTTAAGGTCCCTCCCAGCCCAAACCAGTCTGGGATTGTGTGATCTCAGATCCACACAGTGGCACGAGCCCTTGATCCCCCTGGGGGATTCACATCTGTAGTCACATTTTAGCTCCTCACCACAGGGTTCTATGGGACATGATGAATTTTTCCCGTGTCTGGGCCGTGGGAGAGGCCCTTGCACTGCCCCAGGCAGTGCTGATAGCTGCACTGGGGCTGTGGGGGCAGATAAAGGTATCACCCCATGCCCAGCCTGCCTCAGCCCCTCACCTGCACTGCAGGGACACGACACACCCGTGCTGCCACAGAGATCTGGGCACTCCAGAAGGTCCAAATTCATCCCCCAGAGCTGCAGAGAGTGTGATGGAGTATGTGCAGCCCTGAATTCCCAGGCTGGCATTCCCAGCACGTGAGCCAGGCAGTGCTGGCTGGCAGCTGCTCACCCAGCTGGGGATGACAAGAAATGGCCTCGGTGGCCTCTGCATTTATTGCTTCTCTGCAGCCTCAATCCCCTGGCATTGAAATTAAAACCCAGGCTGCATCTGGGGCTGTTCCTGTTCTCAGCAATGCACTCGCCTCGTCTCTGAGAGCAGATTCATTTTCAGCT